GGCGGTGCGCACCCCCCTCTGTTTTTTTTGTTTTTTTTTTTTTTCGATTTTTTTTTTTTTTTTTTTCCCATACAGGGGGCCGGGGTCCCGGGTGCTGACTCCCGGAACCCCGGAACCCCGGCGGGCTCCCGGGGCCGGGGGTCGACAACCCTGACAACGGTAGGCTTCCGTTATCCCCGGCAACGGCACCACCTGTCGAGCGCATTGGTCCGGTACCGCACGTGGAAGCGCGGGACCCTCTCGGCCGCGTCACGTAGGAGTTGGACCAACCTTGCCGCAAACACACAAATGGAGCTTCCTTAAGCCGCTCCGGCCGAGTGCGCCAGCCATACATCTCGCGAGCCCCTACGACAGGATAGGGCCTACGCGAGGCATAACTTACCTCCACCTTACTGGACCTGTCACCTCCCTTCAGTGGGCGTATCCCCGCCAAGCTACCAGTCCACAGTACGAAAGCTTTTCGGTTGCAATCGCAGAGGTGGACCAGCCGAGGGCGTTTCTCGTTCGTTGTAGCATAGGGGGTACGCGCGGTAACACGCCTATCGGACCCGCATGCGAACCGACATCTTGGGGGGCTCAAGCCCCAAGCGGGGCTCGACGTCGGTCGACTAGGACGCATCCCACACACCACTCGCACACCACTCTACGAATACAAAACACACACACACACACACACACGAAACGACACAATACAAACAACGCGACAACGCTCCTAGCCCCTCTGTAGCCATCCCATAACTTTCTGATGCGGAAATCGGATAGGCGTCGCGCGCGAGACTTGACATAAAACCGCGCGGACGAAGGGCTAAGCCATATCGACTCGCAATGCAAATGCATGCAAGCAATCGCAATGATGGCGTACTATGTAGTACCCACGCTCGCGCGGTCCTCGTCAATCTTGAGGGTCGCATTCGACTCTCAAGTGTCGGCTGACACGCGCTTTGAGGGTTAATCTCTCGACGCTGGACAACCGCCATGTGCGGTTGAAGACCACACCCTCTTCTGCACCCTGTGCAGAGGGGTTCAGTAGACAGCTTTAAGCTGTCGTGGCAGTCGAGCATCAAGGGGTTTGACTTTGACGGTCGCCACGGACTATAACGTCCAGCTATGAAAACGCAAAAAAAAGGAACCTCACTCCAACTCTCATTAGCTGATGACCCTCTAAAATGGAAGGGGGTGGACAAGCCCAAACGACGAGCGCGCGGAGGAGGCCCGGTATCCTACCCATAGGCTACCCGACGTCCGGGAAAATAAGACCCGTACACGGATTCCCATAGGCCGACTTGGACTAGTCCTCAGCCCACGTGCCGCTTCATGTTACAAAAAAAAAATCCCAACTTTATTGGTCGTGTCGCGCTCGTGGCCTCACCGCCTGACCCATAACTCTTTTAGTGCGGGATGCGACGAGTGCCGCGTGTGTGAACTTAGTATAAGATCGCGAGGGCGCTGGACTTACACATCTCGTTATGCAGCTCTACTCGAGTAACTGCAATGACGGCGCATTGTGTAGTGCCCACACCCAAATGGCCTATTCTGAGCCAAGGGGTTCATCTTCGACGCTCAGTCACTGGCTGAAGCGCGAGCTAAAGGGGGTAACCCTTTAGCTGGCACAAAATCGACCTGAGGGTCTTCCCACCTTCTGCACCTTGAGGTGTCCCAACCGGCGCGGGGCAAGACAGTCCCTAGGGCAGGAAGGGGTTTGGAGCGGTGTTGAGTTGTCTGGCGCATCACCAGCGGCACGCTAACCCTTCCGCCCAGAACTTTATCGTTCCACCGAGATAAATCGCAACAAGGAAGGGAAACATGCACTTTTACCGTTTATCAAAGAAAAACCTCTCTTGTGTTAGGCTCAAGGCCCTTACTTCGTGGGCACTTCAGGTCGTGGTGATTCCACACGTAGGTACTCATACACTCGCACATACATATACACATGGGGAATAATCACATGACGATCACTTCTCACATCCATAGTGAGTCTCCTTCTAGCCATACATATATGTGCGACCGCAAGGCAGTCCAACGAGAACCCCAAGCTACTGAACATACCTGCAATCACGTCAAAGTCAAACAAGAGTCCACACACTAGACGGAGTCAACT